CACACGTCCTTCTTCTCTTTCTACGACTATTGTCGTGCTGACTACAGTAGTAGTCGCCGCAATGTATAGCATCATGTCTTCATCTTTCCTTGGGGGTGTGAGAATTGGTGAGGATGTGAGATATGCCTTAAGTTTCTTGAAAGCTTCGTCAGCCTCCTTTGTCCATTCAAACTTGTCTGTCTTCTTTAGTAGTTTAAAGAAGGGTAAACCCTTTTCTCCAAGTCTTGATATGAAATGATTGAGGGCCGCCATGCATCCTGTTAGTTTCTGAACATCTTTGATACTCCTAGGTTGCCCCATTTCTGTTATAGCTCGAATTTGCTTGGTGCTGGCTTCAATCCCGCGCTGACTGACCAAAAATCCGAGTAGTTGCCCTGAAGGAACTCCGAATACACATTTATTTGGGTTCAATTTCCATCTCCATCTCTTCAAGTTTTCAAATGTTTGCTTTAAATCTTCAATCATGGTGTCTGGGTTCTTTGTTTTCACCACTACATCATCCACGTATGCCTCCACATTTTCACCGATTTGATCTCCAAGGCAAGTTTGTATAGCTCTTTGGTATGTGGCACCAGCGTTCTTTAGTCCAAACGACATGGTCTTGTAACAGTAAGCACCGAACGGAGTAATAAAAGAAGTCTTGCTCTGGTCTTGTTCTTTTAATGCGATCTGGTGATACCCTGAATAGCAATCGAGAAAGGATAATAGTGCAGACCCCGCTGTTGAGTCGACTATCTGGTCAATGCGTGGTAGCCCGAATGGATCTTTTGGGCAATGTTTGTTGAGATCCATGTAGTCGACGCACATACGCCACTCATCTGTGTTCTTCTTTTGCACAAGGACCGGGTTTGCTAGCCATCCGGATGAAGGATTTCTCGATGAATCCGGTACCGCCATCGGTTTTGTGATTTCTTTTTAATCGCTGCCTTTTTTGTCGGGTGAGAATCGTCGTAGCCGCTGCTTTACTGTGCTTGGAGTTTTCATTAACATCAATTACGGTTTCGACCAACTCTCTTGGGACACCTGCATGTCGGCCGGCTTCCAAGCGAAGATATCTTTGTTGTCCCGAAGAAAGTTGGTGGCCGCGAGTTCCTATTTTGCCGAGAGGTGAGCAATCGATGGTTGCTGTCTTGGAGGTATCGCCAAATTGCTTAAATCGATTTGCTTGACGTCGGCTTCTTTTGGTGGTGTGATGATGCTTTGGGCTTTTTAGCCGGTATTTCTAATTCTTCTTGGCTTATCTCCGCAGACAATTGTGGCTATTTGTTTTCTCCCATTGTCGGCTGTGCTTTTGCCGCAATTTGGATTACTGAACGTCATGATCAAAAGCACGCTTCAAATCGCTTGAGAAAGGATACCGTTGGGTCCTGGCATCTTAAGCAATAAGTACGGATAATGTGGTATTGCCATGAATTTTGCCAGTGCTGGGCGTCCGAGGATCGCATGATATGACGAATCGAAGTCTGCGACCTCAAATTTGATAAACTCTGTTCGATAGTTCGTAGGAGTTCCAAAAGTGACGGGTAAAGTAACTTGTCCGAGTGGCATGGCTGCTTTGCCGGGTACTATTCCGTAAAAGGGGGTGCTTGTTGGTGTAATCATCCCAGCGAGTTGTAGTCCCATCTTCCTTAGTGTTTCTGAAAAGATGATGTTGAGTCCAGCTCCCCCATTAATTAGTACTTTGGTGACAGTTATACCGGCAATAGTTGGGTCTAAGACTAGTGGGTAATGGCCTGCGTTCCCTACGCTAGTCCATTGGTCTTCTCTTGAAAATTGGATTGGATATTGTGACCAATTGAGATATCTTGGTGTAGCCGGTTCTGCCGTCATGATAGTCCGTAGTGCTAGTTTTTCTTGACGTTTGCTTGTGCAATCTGGGGCCCCTGAGAAGATCACTGCTACCGTTCCCCTGGGTTTTTGAAATCCCTTGTCCTCGTGGTTGTCTTCATCTTTCTTGTGATTGTCCTCTTTGGTGTTCTCCTTACTATCTTTTCTCGTGTATCGATCATTGAAAGTGTAGCAGTTTCCGATGGTGTGTCTCCCGTTAGGGTGTAACGGGCAACGTATGTTTTCAATGTCATCATATCTTCTGGGTTTGGAAAACTTCTTTGATTTGTCGGCCATTGCCACGGTATTGTCTGGTCTACGCTTTCTTTCTTGATGTCTGCTATTTCGATGATTTTGCCTATCCGGGTTGTCTTGGTTGCTTCTATCCGGGAACCTTTCTCATGTTTTTTCTTCTGCAGTAATCATTTTTTCTCTTTTGCTCGTTCTGAATTCTTCATTGTTTCTCGGATTTTCTTTGCGAAGTCTTGAAATTGCCACCTAGCCATGATTCCGTGAGAGAAAGCTTCAATTACTTCTCGCTCGGTGATGTCATGCACTTGAGCCTCGTAGTTCACCGAATCGCCGATAGTAATTTCTCGAGACTTTCGCCCCCCTTTTGCTTGAGTCCTTTCGATTCGGCATGAGTGATCGGGTGTGTGATGATACCGCGAAATTTTCACGAAAAGCTCTTTGCAAGTCTTCCCAAGTTACGATCGATCCTGGGGTTCAATTTATCGAACCATTGGAGGGCATCGCTTCCAGGTGCCACGGGAAAGAACAAGGTTTTGATATCATCGTCTCCTCCGGCTAGTTCAATTGATTGTGAATATATCCTGAGCCATTGTCTTGGTTCGGTTTTGCCATCATACTTGGAGTGATTAGACGGTTTGAATTTGTGAGGTAATCGTACTGATGCCAACCTGTTTGCAAAACAGGGGAATCTGCCATGCGTTCCGGCTTCCTTGAATTCAAATTCGGCTCCTTCTTCTGGCCAAGTGTTGTTTTGATGAGAATAATTCTACGAGGCTGTCTGGGTAGGCCCTCTACTCCTGGTCTTCCTTGGTTGTTCAAATTGATGTCCCCGACTATGTTCCCTCCTACTTTCTCTGTTATGGCTTCCGCCTGGTCCAAGTCTTTCAAAAGCGGACTTCCTTTGATTTTGATCTTCTTGCCTGCGGGTTGTTGATCTGGCGGGTAGTCTTGATCGGGTTCTCTCTTCATGCGTTCTTGGGATCGTTGACCGGAGCAAGTCCTGGAGCTGTTCGTACTTCTCTCCGTGACGTGAAGTTGCCCTGAGTTCTTCTAATGCTTCTCGAATCTTATCGTAAGGCGTACTCACTGTGCGTCTCTCTTCGGCCTCCTGTTGTGATTTTCTTTTGTCGTATTCAGCCAATTCTGACTCGTATCTGGTCCAGGCTTCTCTACGCTGTCGAGCGCGGTGCTGGCGCCCTTGTTTCAACTTGTTTTTCCTTTCTCTAGCCTGTCTCTGACTCTCGGTTTCTCCATCGTAGCCCTGAGCAAAGGGTGATATGTTGGATTCTGATTCATCTGATGACCTGACATCGGGTGCTTCTGGGGGGTTTAATGGTGACCGAGGACGTCGAACCATGAGCACTTCCCGTGCGTGAGCCGTTCCGTTATTGTTGTTAGTTTTCATACTGTCGGAGTTGCTGATGACTTCAGTATGCGCCTCGACGTCGTAGATTGAGTCTCCCTCTTGGTAAGGTAGAATAGCTGTTGTTGTTGTGCCGACTAGTTGGGTTCCGCTATCCTCAGGAACGGATCCTGACCAGTGGATGATACAGTCTTGCGATGTTATCGTTAGTACGAGACCCTCCTGAGCTCCTGTCAGTGGTATCCCAAGTGTTGATTTGAAAGACCTTTCAAACTGTCCCTGATAGGATTTTGTCGTGTTGTCGAGCCCAAATGGAAAAGAACTCGGCCTTTTGAAAGAATTCTGAGGGTAATCCGAGTTGTTTTGGGTTGTGCTCTGGAATCTTGCCAAAAAGGAACTCGACTTCTTGAAAGCACTCGAATAGGACTTCATCTCGGATACGGAGCTTGAATTCGAGTCGGATGCGTGTAGCCGTGGAATCTTATTCGAATCGGGTATTATGGGCTGCGCGAATCTTCTGGTGAGCTGATCCGTCGTAGTTGTCGAAATAGAGGATTCTTCATGATGATCCGGATCTTTGAGGAGATGGCTTTGAAGCTTGCCGTAGTTGTCCGCCTCGCAGATCCACGAGCCGAAGATGAAAATCGATCCCGTCGGGAAGATCATATTATTGAGGTCCATCGAGATCTCGGATGCAAAGTCGCCGAAAGCCCCTACCTGGCGCGCCAGCTGTCGATGTTTAACCACCGATAGCACGCCACGAAGTACCGCGGCGAGATCGTTCGAGCTTCGGCGTATGCTGATCTCGATGGTAAACGCAAGAGACAGTCGATTTATCCTGGTTCAGGCCCTCGATCGTAGATCGAGTAACGACCCTACGTCCAGTCGGCGTTTTGCCTTTTGCGTTGGATTGATTATGAAGTGTTATGTTGTACCATTGTTCTTTTTCTTTCAGGAGCCCTGCCCTCCTTTATATAGTCAGGAGGCCAGAGTCCTAGTCGGTTTACAATGAGATTTCCTAGTAGGATTACTTAATAGTTCTATTACTAAGATTATATGGAAAGAATCCTAGTTGAACTAGATCTTCTCTCTCTTGCGGGGTATCCTGTGGGTCCCGCATCGACAGTGGCCTCTCTGCTTATTTGCACGTCCCAAACCAGGCTCACACGCAGCTCACGTGCGCTTGGACACAGTCAGGGCCACGCTGTCCACGCCACGTCGGCCAAAACGTTGTTCCGATGAGTTATGGACCTAAGTGACATACTTAAATAATATTAGGATGTCAAAAGTACGATTTGAGAGTTTGTAGACCAAAACAAATTCATGAACCTACGATACAATTACCTCTTTTTAAAATGACAAAGCCCGAGCCCGAACTGAAGGCGAGAGAGCCCGAACAAGGTGTAGTTGTTGATGAGGCTAATCACTCGGGCTTCAATCATCATGCACTCTATAAATTAATTAGCTAGCTAGTCGATCGCTGCATATACGAAACTTTACTCAGTTGACCTCCTCTCCAGTCTCCACAGCCTCCGATCCCCGGCGCCATCAGACTCCCATGGAGCCAACCGAACCGATAACCTATCTGGAGGCCACAGCCGCAGCGGGGACCTTCAGCCAGCTGGAACTGGAAGAAGACTTGATGTCGCCGTTCATGCTCTCTGATTCACCACCGCCTTCCCTGTGGCTGCCCCTCCCACCCGCGGAGGGGTTCGCTGCGCCGGAGAATTTCGGTGACTGGCAGATTTCTCTGGATGAGATGCCCTGTATTCCTTTCGGTGACGTGCAGATTTCACCTCTGGCTGCGATGCCCTGTATTCCTGCTGCTGTAGCTGAAGAGACCAACTATGCCGCCGCACCGGCACCACTTGTGGACACGCATGGCACAGGAACAGGTTAGGTTTTTCTGATTGACTCGTTTTCCACTTCCATCTGATAGATAGATTCTACCTCCAATGGATTTTATTTGAACTAACTATATGCGTTCAATGCCAAGAATTAACTATCTACTTAACTGTGTAATTATTCAAAGGGCAAAGACATATAAATACGGATGGGAAAACACTTTCTGTATTAGGTAAATTTGATTAGCAATTTTAACTAGTTGTAGATACTAAATTAAGGACCTTGCTACTCAGATTACTTTCTACGAAATAAGAGCAACTCTCTATCGGGGGCTCCCAAAACAACAACCCTCCACCCCCTCTTCAAACCTCAAAATCTATTCTACCTACAGTAGATCTCTAATAATAGCTCACAGAAAAGGCACATGAGAGGATTAGGAGAGCTCTACGTACGTGTCCTGCAAGTTTGAGGGTGACGAGCTACTTGTGTGTGTGTTCCATGCCTTGCTTAGCCCTCACTGAAGCGCTCCACCTTAGACCGGCGCCCGGCCAAGGATAGCCGACGCGGCTCCGAACCCAGCACCCACCCAGCAGTTCCCTTCCTCAATAATCAGCTCGGCCACTCGACTTGGCGTAACTTTTACTACGAATGTCTTTTAAGATTCTGGCTACCAGGGGTTGTTAGACTACTGATTTTTGCATGGTTGTCTCCTGATGAAGGGCAATTATCGTCCAATTTTTCCCTGTCATCCACCACGTCTAACGAGTTTGACGAGGAGGAGGTCCAACAGGCGATGATGTCATTGCAGCATTTCCTACATCCGCCGATGGCTCCCGATGGGTTGTCGAACACTACCAATGGTGGTCCAGCAGCGAGGAGCCATGCCGATGCAGTGCCGGTGGTCCAACAAGGCACCAGCACCACCGCCGGTTTGTTATGAATTCAGATTAGATGCTGTCTGATTAGCTGTTCTCTGTGTAATCCATCTTTTGTTTTTGCCTAGTGTACTTGGAATGAATTGAAATATGAACCGTTCAATTGGTTGTGTGTGTCATGGTATGGTTGCAGATGAACTGCCTCACCCACAACAGCGGCTTCCACTACCGACGAACGACCCAGACCCGGAGGCTCAGCCTGGTGGTGGCTGGGCCTGGCCTGATCTTTCACTGGCCGATAAAGAAGTACAGATACAGCAGATGAGGCCAACCATTTCGCCATCTCAGCCGCCCTCACCTACTCCGGTGATAAACCCTGGTCCAGACGAGGCCAACCATGCTGCTTCGGCACCGATGGGTTCGCAAGGTAGTATTAGTACAAGATTTGGGGAAATTCCATCGAATTTGTTCTTCTGTTTATTTGAGCTTGCAGTTTCTTGTTTTCTCTATATAAGCATTCCGATGTCCCAAAACTAAGGATATATGCTCTATAAATCAGCAGAGACTCTTATACCAGCAGCGCCACAAGATCAAGAAGCTAAGGCCCTGTCCGCTTGTTTTATAATCAGTACTTTTGGACTTGCCTCCACAACATTGTATTTCTATCGCAACAAAGCAGTCGGAGCAGCTCTTTTATTTCCCAATAAGTCAGCCGGAACAGTGTTTCATTTTTATTTTTCAGCGAAGCGAACGGGGCCTAACATACTGAGTAGGGCCTCGACTCGGCGCAGGGCCAACAAAAGTAGGGGCCTCCCTAGCCGACTACAGGTATATAATGTTTTTTTTTATGAAACCACAATAGGTACATATTTGTGAATACTAACATAAGTATGCAGTACAATAACTAACAACATACTCATGATTCTAATAAATTGCCCAGCTGTGCCATTATGAAAGATAATACTACAAGTAACACAAAATTTCTTCAATTACCACATATGCCATTATGAACGATAATAAGGTAACCCATTGATTTTTATCTAAGTTATCCACAATCACCATTATATAAAATAAACAAAAATATCCCTCAAATCTATATGTCTACATGCCAGTATAAGCCACTATGGAAAATGATACAATAACCATAAAACTTAGTACGCTATTTATTCTTTTAAATTATACATGATTATACATGTTCGCCACTTCTACATTAAAAATAACCATAAGTGCTATATGATACTATGTTTACCATGCATCCATTAGGGTAAATATTTATTATGATAGTTATCAATGACGAAAAAATGATCTCATAATAATTCACATACCGATGACACTGAGGATTCAAATTAAATTATACTAATACTCTATGATAAAAAAATTTGTAGGATATTACTTTATACAAGTTTAAACATTTTAACTAAAACATATGACATATCGAGATATTGGTAATATAACTTTATTAGTCACTCTATGTTTTTCTAAATATTATTACTACAGGAATAATTCTTTGGTATAACAAATTCAACATCTTGAGTTCACTTCTACCTGCTAAAACAACTATTTATATCATTATAAAGTATAAAGTAAAATATCCATCAAATCTACACCTAAATTACCAATACGGGCTATTATAGAAAAAAATAAACATAAAGCACATTGTATGTTTTTCTAAATTACCTAGCTCTACTATTAGCAAATTCAAAGTAAACATCAATGCTTCCGTGGTTAGTGGAGCTGGTTGTACCTTTTCCTCCAAGGATCAAATTAAACCTAGGTTTGATTAAAAAAACAACTTGATTGAATGATGTTCCTATATATTTCACTAATAATATGCATTGTACGGTTGCTCCTTTCTCAGGATGTGTCCAGCAACCTCTATCGTATGGGGATAGATATGATACAGCAATTAGGAAGGCATATTGGCAAAATGATGAAGGATGAACAACACAGATCGTCAATAGTTTGGCAGCACTTCTCGAGGACGTCACCTTGTAAATACTGTCGTACCGTGACCGTGATATGCCCATATTGCCACACTGTCATGAGAAACCCCTCAACCATTGAGATGTTAAGGCATCTAGAGAGCATTCACCAGCTTCCGGCTTCCTCTGGGGCACGGTCCCCTCAGGCACTACAGATTAAAGAAATTGCTGAGGACCCCAATGGTGAGAGTGAACCAATTGAGACAGACAACAGCAATAATCGTGCCACTGCAGCGCGGGTGGACACGCAAGGCACCAACACTGGTGAGGCTTCCTTCATTTGTTCCTTTCTTGTATAAAAGCTTCCATATAAGTTATGGCATGCACTAAGTTACGACACTTATCGTCTTCCTGTTCTCAACTGTATGGGAGGCATGGACTAGCAACTTCTTTTATCTTCAAGGCCATGTGAAATCCTAAATCACGAGGCCAGGAATAATGGACACTAGCAAATCAATGTATGGGTGGTTTGGACTTTATTACTTATGTTTAAGGTCATGGCGTGGTTTCGTGGTTTAAGTGTTTAGTATTCAAGTACAAAATTGAAGTAAATCCCTTTGGACTACGATAGCAGTTTTGATCTGTTGTTGGCGCCTCAGTAATAAGTCTATTTGGTGGCTGCTTAATCTCTTTTCAAAGAATTGTGTGTTGCTTTCCTCAACCAGGTGAGTGGTTTGTTGTTTTTAGGGTTCTAGCTATTGAAATATACCGTGGATTATGTGCTTTCCTCATCAACTTGCCTTTTGATTAAGTTGGTTGGTGCATAGTATAGCCCAATAAGATATGATAATAACTTTGAACACTTAGGTCGTTTGAGTTATTTGAGTCCTGGCTGTTACAGCACAGCTTAATAACAAAAATTGTTGCTCACTCCTTCCATGTTCGAAGGCTCGAGATATCTCCACGAGGGAGAGTACTGAGACGATATGTAAATTGTCCAATTTTCTTCATCAACTTTTAAGGTTTTAGGTTAGTTTTGGCCGGTGCATGGTAGATGGGTTACACTCTTTTTGCCCGATCAGCAAGTTGTTCTAAAAAACAGTTTGTTTGGTTTCTACAGTTTTTTAATAAGTATAAGCATTCAGTGATATTTTATCCCACAACCAGTTTGGGCTTGCAGTTCTTCTGAACATTTTTTTTGTTCTTGCCATTAATTTTCATCTGCGATCCATACAAGCTCGAAAGGATTTATGTCAAAATTATTTTCCTATAGTTAATCATTCGATAACCAGGTTGAATTAAATCCAAACTGTTTTATTTGTTGTTTTCCTATGGATGTAGTTGTGCTGTCTCCATGGCAACAGCATCAGCCACTGATGGACCGCGAGGGACAAATGGCAACAATCCTTTCGTCCCAGCCGTGCTGCCGAGGACCATCGGGTGGTCGTGTGGTAAGGATGTGCCTTTATAATAGTTTTATTTACATGTCAGGTATTCATACCCATCTCAGTTTTTTCATCCATACTCATATAGATATTTTATTGTCTTTATCTTTTTGGTTTACTTACTAATTACTAATTTATTTGCTTTTCCATCCACATTCATAGTTTCCCCCCTTTTAGGTCACATCTCTACATGTGTTCAACATATACTTAGTTGAGACCTTTCCTTCAGCTATATGTGTTTGACATGGAAATTGATATAAGCTTATTACCTCTTGCATACATGTATACATAATTTGCATGATGGCACACATCATTTTTTTATATTAACAAGGGAAAACACTTTGGGGTAATTTAATTTTTAATAATGAAGGAATTAGATTGTTTAGGTATAGACTAACAGTGATTTTATATTTGTTTTAATAACAATGATGAAGTAAGGTAGTTTATATTTAGATTTAGAGTGTTACTTTAGATTTTATTTATAATAGCATAGGTGTGGATATAATTTGGATGAAGAGTAGGGGGTTACATTAGATTATTCTTCATGATGGTAAAGGTAGGTAATTTTGATACATAATTAGGGGGTAAATTTAGAATAATTCCATAACCGTAGATGTGGGTATTTTTAAGAACAAAAAGATAATAATTCCGATATCTATTCACTACCAAAATGGTGGACTTCTCCTAGTGTTTTTAAGTAGTAATAAAACACTACCACTAGTCATAGCACATGGAAATCTCGCTAGGCGGCATTTTGTAGGGAAAATTTATACTAAATTTTGAATACTAAAACACTAAGCCCACCTCACTAGGAGAAGTCTAAAATTTTGGTTGTGATTATTGTCAATGATAATTGCAGTCTATAATGGATTAATCGCTGATATTTCTATTTTTTTTGTGAAAATTCGTATTATTAATCCTTTTTTCTAGTGCCACTCATTTTTACTGGTGGTGAAAATTTATGATTTCGTTTTTTTGTTAAAAATCCTATTACTGTCGTGACACAAGAGTAGCATATTGGAAGGCTAACTAATTCTGCTTTTGATGATGATAATAATGTGGTCGGTCATGCATCTCTTGTGCAGGTCCGTCATCATATTATTAAATATTTTCCCATTCTTGAGCCGGACTCATGGTGCGACCTCATTATCCGACTCTCTGATAGCTCATATTGCTCATCGACTACTAAAAGTCCTCACCACGGCTTCAGATTGAAATTTTACGACAACAGCAAGGAGAAGGGTTATAAAATTTTACCACAACAACAAGGAGTTCAAGTGCGCTCGTCAGCAGCTTGTATGATCCTCAGCGAGAACCCGTATGAAGATCATGCTGGAGTCTCGCTAGCAACTGGCTCCGATACTATTGGCAGTTCATACCTGTTGGTGGGAGTTAACAATTTTGACTCGGCCGCACCAGCTGGGTGCGCATATCCCTGGCATTCTATGCACCGTGTCCTTTGCTCGTTAGGATTCAAGGAAGAATTTGCTACAAATTTAGTGATGTATGCATTTGGACGGGTCGACGAGTGTAATTTGAGGTTAAGGAGCCCCAGTTCAAGTAACAAGGGCAAAAGTATTGTTAAACAAGCTGGTGATGTGCCATCAGGAAAACGGAAGCGAAAACCGCTTCCTCCACGGTCTAAAGTTTGGAACCATTTCACGAAGGAGGAGGTGGTGGAGGCTGAAGGTTCAACGGTTACCATGGCAAGGTGCAACCACTGTGGATCTAAGCTGAAAGCTGATTCAGCAAGTCATGGTACTACTCAGTTGAAAAGACATATTACAAGCACACACCCGGACGAATTAGCCAAATAACCATTATAAAGCACAGGATGGTAATATATGGGAATGGGTCCATCATCTGCCTGCCAGCAGCCAAAAAAACTACTACTGCAAGAGCTTGTTGTCTTCTTGTCCATAGAGCTTTGCGCAGCCTACTATTTCTTAATTAGATTAGATGCATATTAGCGTTTGATATCTGCTCTGGTGTCTGTATAAACCTTGTGTTGTGTGTTGGATACGTATATCTGTCAGCGTATGCGTATCTCTTTGTTTCCATCAGTTTCGTCAGTGCTCAGGTCCGGTTCTTCAGGAGACAGGCATGCATCAGGTTGTTGTTGATCGTGCCTTAGTTTTAGCGTCGTCAGCTTTGGCCATGTTTGTTATCTGTCACTTTGGGCATGTAATAGGTACTCGTTTGTTTGGCTATTCAATAAAGTCGACAACATAATTGCGGTGCTTTTGCCATGTCATAAAGTACACTAAAGTTCGAAATCTTTTAATTTTACAGCAAATTATAACTCGATTGACTAGAATTATGTGCAAAATACCACAAATTAAACACTGAATTTTTTCAAAACGTTTGAAAAAAATTAATGTACTCCTTTGTAAAGGTCTGCTTAAGAGGAATTACGTGTTTGTTACCGTGTTTTTCATAGATGATCTCTCATACAAGGCAACAGAACACTTGTACAGAACGATACAGCTCACACGCGCACCCTCACGTGCATCCTCTCCTAGTTTTTTTTAGGACAGTCCTCTCCTAGTTTCTGGTCAAGGCCGGGCCGTAGTAGCTCGGATTCGCCTTCCTGTGCCGGTGCGGTCTTGGACTCTGCAACCCGTCAGGTTCAGCCGTAGCCGCTTCATCAGCGTTGTTAGTTGTCGTTCCGTGAACAGTGTCACCACGGAGCTGACACTTCGCTGCCACATACGCCACGGTGCGATCCCTTTTGAGTGTGTTGACCACCAGACGCAGGGGGCCCTTGCAGATGCTCTTCACAGCTCGGGCGATGTTGCTGGTGACTGCAGTGCCCGGGGTCTGGATCTCCTAGGTCCAGTCGCGGAGCGCACAGAGGTAGTGGGCGCTGGAGGGGTTCTCGCAGATGAGGAGCAGGTGGGCCTTATAGATCTGCCCGTCTGCCAGGCTTTGAGTGGGAAGCCAAGCCCAACCAACGTGGGGGCACTCACGCCCTTCCATGGCCAGGAGATGCTTTACAAGGTTAGGAGCTAGGCAGATCGAGCCAAGCCCCTAGGTGCGGGGGACTTAGGTGTGGATCAGCCCTCCTGGACCATCTCCCGGGCACTAAGGCCTTTCTTCGAAACGGTCCAAGACCCATCAGGTTTTCCTAAATGGATCAGAGTGCGTGCGCGAGCGCACACAACGGGTATAGCCCCCCGAGCCCCTAGCTGATTAGGAGAATCAGTAAGGGGGTTAATTATCGAACTGTCATGATGTTAATCCTAGGATTTAGACAAACCCTTGTTTGATACTCAACAGCAGCCCCGAGCCTCTCACAGCCTCTCGAGCCACATCTAGGATGGTAGTGAGGGGATCTCTTCTTTTGTTTGCCGTACCTCTCTGTGTTGGGCCAGATAGGAGTGATCTTGGCCTTTAGGTCCATGTATGTGCCTCTCAGCGATTGTCGTGTGATCAAAGTTGAATTTCTTCGCCGTTTGCACAAGTATTCGTAGTATTTTCATGTAGAACCCCTGCATACAAATAATCTATAGGCACAAGTCAAATTATGTTATTTGAAACTAAATATGCATGTAAGAAATGCTAGTTCTCCTTTATTTCTCATGTAATTGACAATTGCATTTGGCACTTAGTGACCATCAACAAGGTTGTGAAGGGCGATCCTCGTGACCAAGTTTCGAGTTGTATTTGACTATTTGTGCCACTTCTTGTATGAGCATATCTACTAGGTCATGTAGCACCGACCATAACCTAGTAGCTGAAGGGCTACCGTTGGGAGGGTCCATATGGTATATGGGTCAAGTCTTCCCTTAGAAGAGGCCCAATTGTGCTAGTGTAGTTGCATGTGAAACCCATCCCCACCATTGGCTATATATAGTGCCCAAGGGTTTGAGGGCAAGGGGCTCTCTCCCACCCACTATCATTTGTGTTCTAGCAAAACCCTAGCCGTCACCTCTCTTCTCTACATTACCCCTTAACTTGTTGGGAATCAGCCATCCCAACATATATGAATGCAATCCATTAGTATTTTTAAGAAAATGTTTAGAATATAAAGATAATCTAAATTTTAGATTTTCCTGTTTTCAAATGTGTTAGCAAAATCAATATTTAGAGGATTATGAGATGGTCATACTTAAAAAAGCATGTCAAGAACATCAACTGGAGGGTATATGCAGATGATCTGAAGTGCTAATAGAACTAAAACACACATTGATTACATGAAGTTCAGTACTCGGTTGACCTTTTAAAGAAATGAGCAAATGAATAGTATCATTTGCATGGAAAGTTAAATCCTGCATTGGTACTGAAGTTACTTCTCCTATTTGTGGTAGACTTATGATGATGAAGTCTTCAGTTGCCACCGCTTCAGTTTTCCCCACTAGGACCAACAGCCGCAGGCGCCTCCTCGTGCTTGTGGGTACACGTCTCATCGAGGAGGCCCTTAACGATGTGTTGGATGTCTTTGACGCCCTCGTGGAAGCCGCCGTCAGGGGAGTGCGGTGGCGTAGCACGAGCCTCTGTCACGAACGTGGCGAGGCGGTCGGTGAGGAGCACCGCCTCCCTCTAAAAGGCCCCACCAGTATCTCTCCCGTGCTCCCTCAACTTCACGGCCAAAGCGTCAACGATGCTGAGGTTGGCTAGTGTAACACCCTCGGTGTTACGCCCTAAACAATGCATGTGATGGAATGTGTGGATAAAATTTTTGGAACCTAAGATGATCAATAAAAATGCTAAATGAGAGGCTATTCCATAACCCATGTATATCAAGTAGGGTTTAAAACCAATTTTTATTGAACAAAAATACTATAGAACATATATGTGGCACTTAAATAAAGTTTGAAATATGAACTTTGTAGATGACAATGAAATCCTTGCTGTAGAAAAATAACATCGTTAGCTAACATTTTTGATAGCCTAGAAATGGAACTTGGAATCAAAATTCAAGACAGCAAGATAATGCCATGTTTGACAACTTATTTTGTGAAATCGAGTTAAGAAGTGGTGTTGTGTTTTAGCTCGAGTTGGTAGCCTAATAAACCCTCTTGAACATGGTGAAGGTGGTTTGATTCCTACAACAACTGTTTAGTTTTTATAGATGCTTTAAAATTCATGCACGACACGTTCTCGGGCTGGTTCGCCGGGTGAGCGTGATCACCACGCCCGGCCGCATGGCGTCATTCGCTGGACGCGCGCGCTGCCGCGCGTGGCTGGTCGTGGTTGCTCTGGCCTGGCCGCCACTAACCTTTGGCACACAGAGCCGCTGCTGCTCCTTGCGCAGCCAAACGGTACTGCCGCCGGCCCCGCGACGCTGCCGCACTGCCGACCGGCCCCATGCCACGGCACAGCCGCTGCCGGTGCCGTCGCCTCACCGTCATGTCCGCGCTTCTCTCTGCACCTCTGCGTCACTGCTGGCCTGGTTCGAGGCCTCAACTGCCGTGCGCACGTGGCCAAGCTTGTCGTCACCTTGCCATTTATGGCGCTGCGCTGCGCGGGCCATGCCGGTAGTGGACGCGCGCACTTGTCCGTAGCGTCTACGCGCGTGCCTCCATGATCACGCCGACCGCGTCCCGCCAAGGTGAGCCTGAGCTGAGCCCACCTATCGTGCCCCATCTCTCTCTCTGCTGCCGCCGTCGAGCCACGCCATCAAATTAAGCATCGAGCGATCACCTCCATTCAATTCAGCGCATCCACGGCTTCATCATCAAGTCCCCTCGCTGCCTGACCCACCTAGCCTTAAACCATGCATGGCTAAGCTCTAATTTGGAACTTTCCCCGCCGCCGTGCTGATAAGGCCACGCTCGGCCATGGCCGAGGGCAGCCCTCCATCACTTCACCCCGAGCCAATTCATGTGCACCACTAGATTCGCCTTCATCCCCTCTTCTCCCTACGCACCATAGCCGAACCTCTATCGCTTCCCCATCATCGTTGATGCGACTGTGCCACCGCGGTGCGCCGCCGCACGGCTCGGTCGCACGTGGCAAGCCCTTCTCCGTCATCCTCTGCTCCAACCGTCACCTCGGCCTGGTCCACGGTAGCCTCCTGATGCTCGCGCGCTAACCAATTAGGTCTATAGCTGCCCCAGCTCGCCGAAACAGTGGCACCATTGCAGCCTTCCCCAGCAAGTCATGTCACCCCACACCGCCGCTTAGCATAGCCGCTCAAGTCGAAGATGGTGATCGACCCGCTTGATGGGTCCGCGTAGGTCCTAGGTGGTCGGCGTAGCCACCCTGTGTCGCTGCTCGTCGTGGCGCCGTGCACAGAGTTGCCCGGGGGTGTGTGCGGGGAAATTAGTAAAAACTCGAGGGGTTAAATGAATTCGTCAAAGAGACAAAGAAATAGTGTTAGGACTTAGGTGTAGTTCAGGAGAAGTTCGAGGGCTCTTTTGCAAAAGCGCCAGCGCGCGCGAACTCCCCCGCCGTGGGCCGTGTCCATGCGAGCCGCGTGTAGGTGGGCCGCGCGGTTGAATCCACTTTTTCTTTTTCTTAGGAATTAGTAATAGTTTTTCCATTTCAATTTCTGAGCTAGATTTGTATAATTGATATAAATTCATGTAGGTGTCCATAAATTGCGAAACAAATTTTGTTAGGTTCCTAAAATTATGATCTATCTAGTAGTATAGATAGATCATGCATATCTGTGTTGATACTAAGGGCTATTAAATCGTTTGAAAGTGCTTAATATTATTAGGGTAATTATTGTAGGAATTTTTATGGTAAATTGGTGATAGGTTTGATCCTAAAATTTTTACAGTAGCTTCATTGTATTATTATGTGCTTACTGTAATTTTTGTAGCCCTAATATAGCTTGTTTATTAGGGTAGCTACATGTCCATTAAACCTTTAATATGAATAAGAGCATAACATTGATTTAGGAAATTAAGCACTTGTTAGGGTGAGCTTGACACTTGATTTGATAGAGCTGATGGTTAGCTTAGTATCTTAGTCATTAGAGCTAGTTTGTTAGTATGGCATATGTGTTCGTATTTTAAAAGTTGTCGTTGCCTAAATACTAAATCATTGCATCATCATCATCGCATGCATATAAAGAACGAGTCGGCGGAGATCGTAACCACCGGCGAGCACGAGTACGAGGAGGAGATTCTCATGCAGGAGGAGGTTCCGGAGCCACCACTGACTGACGCAGTTGACACCGTGCCTGCCCAAGGCAAGCCCCGGTGCATAACCCTTATTTTTGATAATCACTATATGTATATATGTGATGTGCATTTACATTACAGGAATTTTATGGAAACCACGTGCATAAATATATCTGTCCTATGAGTCTTACTAGTACAGGTTTGAGTAGCTGCTATGCTTAGGTTTTCGGTAGCGTGAGTAACCTGTCGTTACTCACAATAGGTGATTATTATAATTACTCTCATGATAAAATGATGAAAGGAAAAATAGAGACCGGACAGGGATATAGTATGGGTTATGGTGGGTGTGACGAGTTGTGTCCCACGGCCACGGGGCTTAGCTTGGTTACACCGTTTTCCCTGTCCGTGTCGATTGAGGACCGTCCGTTGCTATGGATGGTAGTCTGGTCATAGATTTATTATTCTGAGCACATACTTGTTTATGGGAGCGGGAAGGCTAGTTATGCTCTTGTTGTGGGTTCCGGCTCTTTTCGGACTGACTGATTGGAGGCGAGAAAGGTGGAGGTCTAAGCACCATATTGAGACCGGGTCTCAAGTGTGGGGGCTTGGCGTCAAAGTTTGGAGGGGGACCTAGACCTCGTGACAGGAGTGAAATGGGTTGGTCTTGTTTGTGCCTGGTGTACAAACGAGGTGTGTGTTTCGGGGTACCCAGCAGGGATACATTGGTTGGCGAATCGCTGTTTTCGTGAGACGGTATGACCTGGCTATGGTTTACCACCATAGTAAGAACTGTAATATGAGAGGTGGTAAATTGGTTCTGATTGCTCAACTCTTGCTTGAAAGTAGAACAGTGCTTATCTAGAATGGTTAGCTAATGAATTAATCATGACTGCTAATTAAACTTGATCTTAGAGATGTACTTCTAGTAATGCTTTT